GGAGGAAGACGCATTCGTACTCGCGGACGAGTTGGCTGAGACTTGCGGCAATGAAATGGTGGCGAGCGTGCCGTGAACTCCGGAGACGCTGTTGCGCAACAACACGAAGACATCGAATGAGCTTCTGACGCAGTTGGACAGAGCATTGCCCAAAGTAGATCCATAGGACTGAACAAAACCTGCGAATGCGCTTCGCGCTTGCAGCGCGTGTAGGTCCTTGATTTGTGCCGATTGACGGAGCAGCACACCGGCAAGAATGACCATCGCCACAAGCGCAATCCTGGAGTAGAGCCAAACTTGCCACTCTAGTCGTGCAATGCGCTCGCCTTGCAGCATGCTCGCGAGTTTTGCCTGGCTATAGGCTTCAACCGTGAAAGATTGGAGCGACTCGATGGCCTGCGCATGTGAATCAACTCTGCCTCGCAAGGTGTCGTTGTTGGTAGCGTTCTGCTCTTGCGATGTCTCCACATTGCTAATGCGAGCAGCGTGGGAGACCAGTACGCCTTGAATTCTATTCGCATGATACTCGAACTGCACAGGAGACCAGCAGCATGTGCGAGTCAGTCATTGCGTGTAGCTCATGCAACGCCTACGTCTGTACTTGCACAGAAGCGTTTCCGCACTTCTCGTTTCGAGAGTCAACTCACCGAGTCAAAGACCGTGTATGCAGGTGGAATCTCCTGAGCTTCGGTAGAAATCACAGGAATCGACTCCACCTCCAGCGCTCCAGCGACGAGCTCGGCGCCTACAGCATCGCTGCTTGTATCATTGGCTCCAGATGATGCCTGGCGAATGCTATGAGGAGCGAGAGCCTGCCCAGAAGCCACTGCCAGGGTTCCATGCGAGATGGCCGCTTCTTGTCCCTGATCGTCTTCAAGCGACGCCACGTACCTTCCGGCGATGTCGCGTTCCGGCTCTTCGTTCTCTTCGCTGGTCTCGATCTCGGCCGCGATGCTCTGTACGGCTACTGGCGGTAAGGCAGCAGAGTGCGAGGCAGATGCGCTCGCGCTCGCGCTCGAGCTAAATTGCTCTTGGCGGGCTTGGTCAGCTTCACCAGAAGCACCCATGGACTTCTGGCTGGTAGGTGCGGAAGCTGTGGCATCCATGATGGCCTGCTCGTGGTGAGGTCTAATGTTGAGCTTGAAGCGTCAAGGGGGTTGACTATGTCGTGAGCGTCGTCTTGGAGCTGAAGACGGACAAAGGCGGCTTGCGTTGAGAAGCAAGTGGTGCAGAAGCTATCAATCTTAAATGTGGAGTTCCTCGGCGGTAGAGTGGTGGTCAGTGATGACGTGCTTGGCTCAACGCAAGCCTTTTTCAAAGGTCAGGCAAGTCCGCTGACGAGCGCTTTCCACACTCAAGCGCGACAGCCTTGAAGTCTCATGCATATATTCGTGCGAAACGCGGAGAGCGCACTCGCGCCACGATTGAATCTGAATGATGCGACTCGTAATTCGTGATTCGCACAAGACTTCTTTGTGACTTTTGGCATCGGGCGAGGTCTCAAACAGCTTCCATTCGTCACCTACACTTTGAAGTAATAAGGTGCGACCCTGTGCTTTTCGTCACCATATCATTGTGCCAGACGAGCTTATACACAAAGGGTTGAATGAATCAGGGTGAATGAATTGGGAACAAAATCTTCTGGGATACTGGACCGGTGGACGAGTGCGAACAAAGCGGTCTCAGATTAGCTTACAGCACCGAAGAAGGAAGGCAAAAGGGGAAGGGAAGGGAGGGAGAAGCGAGGGATGAGGGGCTGGCAGGTGTCGCAGGATCAGCATCATCGGCCTGATGGCCGATCACGCCTAGCGCCTTGTCGACAGAAGATACGCTCCCCCAGAGCGACGCCAGTGACGACGGATGATTTCAAAATGCTGCAACAGCAGAGACACCGAATCAAGGTCTGCTGTCTCGGCTTCCATCATCGTCTTGCTTCTGGCAATGTCCCGCTCGTGGGACCTCTGGAGCTCTTCTATGCCATCCTTCTCAGCTCTGGCCAGCTCGACTTTCTCCTCATCCAAGTATCGGTTCGCCAAACGGCACTTTGCAGAGATCTGTTGTGATGTCATCTGGATCTGAGCGTTCAATTTGGAAAGGTCTGAATCCGTGGCCTGCACCTTCTTTAGATCTGCTAGACGATGTTGAAGCGACCTGTGGAAGATATCCAATGCCAGGTCGGGGTCATCTGCGCAAAGTCGAACGACTATGCTCCCTTTGGCACTCAGTCCTTCGATTTTCTCCCAGGCAGCAGAAGCCTGCTCCCGTGCCTTCTTGGTGAGAATTGCGTCCCAGATCAGAATGATGAACCTGAGCACATGCAAAAGAACAAATGTAAGCCGAGCCGAGTGATCCTCTCATGGCTTTGTATGTTTTGGTGACAGCACTGTAGAGCGCTCAAACAGTCCGTTGGGCAAGTGACTTACACAACGACCTCAATAAAGCTGGAATGGCTGGAGGAGATGAAGATCTCCAGAGCAGTCTCCAATTCTGCAAGAACGACGCCTTCCCACGTCTTGAAGAGAGAGTTCAAAGACTCTCGTATATAAAAGTGCATCACCACCGAGAAAGCGACCTCGCACAGGAACTGGCAGTGGATCAACCCTTCGATTGAAGGGTGGATCAACACTTCGATTGAAGAGTGGATCAACACTGCGATTGGAGAATAGATGTTCGCGAGGATGCCGTCTTGCCAGTGCATCTTGAGAGGAATGCAAGCTTTAGGCATGACGACGATCAAAGCTCCATGGATGAGCACAATTCCCTAAAAGATGAGTGTCAACAGAACGATGCTCAGGTCGAGATGTTCGTTTTGCCGATGCATCTTGTACCGAAGCGAAAGCTGTAGAGTGATTACTGGTACCAGCAGGGTAGTTCCCTTGGAGAAGAGGAAATCCAAACGAAGCCAATCATAGTACTCCATGTCGGGAAGCGTCATCGCGTTCGGGACGAACAATGTTCGATGGCGGTGCGCGCGGTGATCTGCTAGTGATCGTTCGCGGCCTTTGGCGAATGATGGCGGCGTTGGATTCACGATGACCCAATGCAACAACTTGCCTGCTGAGCTTGAGCTTGAGTAGCGAGTAGCGAGTATCGAGTGAGGGAAAGTCGAATGTCGCAACTTGCCTGCTGGGTTTGAGTTGGAGTAG